AACAACATATTTCTGATTGTGCTGAAATTGTAGCCAAAGCTTATACTTGATTAGAGATGAATACCTCTAAAAGCATTTTTTGCGACAAGCCTTTTTGCTGTCCACCTTTCCCTCAAAGTTTCAAATATAACCTTTTTTTCTTCATCCAGTGGAAACCCTCATGGGCCGTCACCCCTCCTTTCTGGAGAAAGGGAGAGGGTGGTGTGTGGGACTCGCCTCCTGTCCCTTGGACTTAAAGTCTCTCCGAGGGTGCAATGGGGCGCCTACCGCACTAAAACCACCGGGGGTGGACTTGTCTGCGCTTTTTGGGGCCACCTGGAAACTGCTACGTATTACTTCCAGGTGGCCCCGCGCTGCGCGTTGGTTTACGGGCGCTTCTCTGCCCCAATTTTTTATATCAGGGCCTATTTCACAGCGGGAAAGGAAAGACGTGTGTGATGTTAGCCGCATTTTTCGAATTTTGTATTTTTCTCAATTGTGCTGCATTGTGCTACGCTTGTGCCGTATTGTGCCGCAAACCGCAACTCCGTAACTCAAAGCGTGCTCGAGAAATAAAATAAAAAACCAAATTTTTGACAGCCCCGCATTTTTCGAATTTGGAACTTTTTTAATTGTGCCGTATTGTGCTATGTTTGTGCTGACTTGTGCCGGAAACGAAAGATCTGTTACGTCCAGTGGACTTCACGATTTCTTTCTTTCCTAAAAATAGCACTGCGACCGTTCCCACGAATGATCCCCCAATAGGAAGACAGTAAGGAAATGAGAGGTTGTCGACCCATGAGAGGTCACAGCTGCAAGATAAACTATTCCCCTTCATTTTTACGATTTAACAATCTCCCATTCTTACGATCTAACAATCTTCCCTTTTTACGATCTAACCATCTTTCCTTTTTATGATCTAACAATCTTCGTTTCTACGAACTAACAATCTATCTTCATTTTTATGATCTGTCAAACTCTCAAAACCCACGATGACAAGTGGAACCAGACCTCCTAATTGACAAATCCCATTAACGTCACCATATTACGACCTGCAGCCGCGCTCTAGAAGAGATAATTAAACTTACTTTATTAGCAAACGATGAGAGGACTGGTACCCTTTGTCACAAAAAACAGGCGACAATCGGGCGCCACCGAATCCCCACTAGAAAATAAGTTAGAAAATTGTTGCTCCGATCCACCAATAAGCGCCAGCCAAATCAGCGTATTCAACCCACTCCCAACGAAAAATAGGGTATATAAACCCTGATTCCGCGGAGGAAAGCGCACTTAACTTCTCCAGTAAAAGATCAAGCTGTGACATAAGTCGTGTGAGAGTCTTCTCAAAACGTTCAAGGCCCACCATCATAAGGAAGACATCGAACTCCTCGTCCATCGAGAACTGCCGAAGCCTTCCACGGGTGCCCCGACAATCAGCCCTATAGAGGAAGACGACAAACTCCTCGACCATCGCCTATCTCTACGACCGGTCACGAGCTAAATATTAGCATCACGTAAGTCCTCTTTCCTCCATGTAACATAATATAATCAGAGGCCTAGAACTTAGTATGTAAGAGACCCCATAGAAACCCACCATCTGTAAGATCCGCGACTAACAAATACAAACCACTTTACAGTGGACCTATTCAACCTTCCACCGGGAGAAGTCGCCATCGACCCGCGTTGTCTTGTTCGAACAAGATTTTTTCTTAGATTTTCAACTCCCTACAAGTTACCACCTTCCTCCTACTCCCCCAACTTCATATGATTCACTATCTCCTTCCTCATACTCCCCGGAGCCTTATCCACCTTCTATCCTTGCAAACTCTCCCCCCGCATCACCGACGAGCTCCACGTCAAGCGTGGAGTTCTTAGGCGAAGTTGCGTCCCCTGAATTCCAAGAAGAAATCCAGCTCTTAGCCGAAATTCCGTCCCCTGAATTCCAAGAAGAAATCCAGCTCTTAGCCGAAATTCCGTCCCCTGAATTCCTAGAGGAAATTGAGTTCCCCACAAAGACATCTTATGTGAGGATTCCACGCCTGACGTGGAATTCCTCCGTCAAATTTCCCCTTCTCCCACCTTCTCCACGTCCAGTGTAAAATTTCTACAAGAAGTTCTCCCTTCCTGGCCTCCCAGCGCCAACAGTTCTCCTGTGGAATTCTTGGGAGAACTCCTTCCCCTTTCTCCCATAAATAACCCCTTCCCAGACATCCCTCCATCCTCGCCCACCAGTTCCGCGCTTAGTGTAGAGGAATTAATAGATGTAGTTACGTTATAAAACACATATATATTCATTACATTAGCCACACTATTATTTTGTACAAATACATTACATGTATAAATACCGAAATAAATTTAATAATGTGTAACGATTACAATCAATCAATTGAATTATATTACATGTCTCGTTCTCAATGATAGTCTTGTAGTCTTGCTTGTCATGCCTTACATCACAACGTTTAGCGCATATTTAATTTGAATCTGGCGCCCTTCCGTCGCCTAGTTACTCCCGTTTAGTCCCCTACCCTCATATTGTTTCGTTGTGTCGAAGCATCGAGACGTGTTCTCGCATAGTGCTTAAAAGCTCTTATTTAGGCTCTTATTAGAATGCCTGACCACAAGAAGAAGAAGCGGTCGAGATCCCGATCACGAGAGGATCATCACTCTAAACGCAGACATAACGAAAAATTCGATCAACTGCAGAAACAGTTGGATAACCTAACAAAAGTAGTAGAGGCATTAGCGAATGTACAAAAAGAACAGGATTCGTCGAGTCAGCCTATAGTAGAAACAATATTGGATGTTGTAAGCGGTAAGAAAAAATTGATGCATTTGTATTGCTAAAAATTCTCATCCTTCCACACGAAGGCTGAGAGGTAATACCCATACGGTTTTACCATAGTCCATACGACTTTAGAATCAAAAGAGAACACCCACACGGTGTCTCACTTTTTCCACGGTCCATACGACCTCGATAAGAATAGTGTTGTGATTAGGTTTAACAAAAACAATAATATCACAATTACACAACAAGTGTTACTTAATAATTCTTCCGGTCCTTGATTTCAGACGAGGAAAACAAGGAAAATAATCCAAAAGACGGAAATGAAGAAGAATTATTAAAAACCTCTGAATCAATAAAGAGTAGCGCGCTGAAGATTTTGGGAATAGATCCCAATGATTCAAAATTCAAAGAGATTAAGTATCATTCAGAGCTAAAGAATACCTGGCTGAAATGGAAAAATGAAGGCCTCCCAGAAAAGAATAAAAAAGAAATTATGGAAGTTTATAATAGAAAAGGAGACTTCTACACCGAAGCCCCTAAATTGAATCTAGAGATAGTTCCACTGCTTTCAGAAATAGCGAAAAAGAGGGATCAGCATTTCGTAGAAACACAGAATTGTGGGCACAGCCATAGCAGCCTTAGCTGCCGTAGTCTCTATGGTAATAGATCCCCCAGAAGACGGTGTAGACGAGGATACATTTACAGATTATATAAGCCATGCTGGTCAGATTTTAACTGATGTCTTCCATCAACAGTCGGTGGCAAGGAAATCTTTCATCACACCACAGTTGAATAAAAGTGTCAAACCAATGGTGGACACGACGTTTTCTGACGAGTGGCTTTATGGAGATAATCTCAAGGACAAAGTCAAATACGTAAAAGAAATTGAAAAGGCTTGTGCGAATATTAAGGATAAGACAATTCAAAAGTATACACCTAAGGCTCGAGAGCAGGTAAACTGGAAATACCCACCTGCGGGATACCGACAGGTGGGTATTTCCAGTTTACCTGCTCTCGAGCCTTAGGTGTATACTTTTGAGGTGAGTCAACAGCAAAGACGTCGGCAGATGAAATTCAAAACACGAGCCTACAGGACCTCGCAGAGTTCGACCAAGGCAACACCGCAGACGACGAACCAATCATCGTCGAAGAAATAACTCGGGTAGATAAACTTGCAGGGCGCCTTTGTCACTTTGTAGAAAGATGGAGACGTCTTACCTCAGACAAGTATATTTTAAGCTATTTGAAGGGTTATAAAATTCCGTTTATAGAAACGCCCATTCAAAAAATTATTCCTAAGGAGAAAGATCGTTCCTTTAAAGAAACCGAAGAGATTCAAGGAGAAATTAATGAACTCTTAAGGAAAGGGGTGATAGAAGAGTGTAATGAATGTAACGGACAATTCATTTCTTCCTATTTTCTTGTTCCAAAACCTGATGGTAAAAATCATTTTATTTTTAATCTAAAAGAACTAAATAGATTTATCAAACCTCCACATTTTAAATTGGAGGATATTAGATCCGCGTTAAATCTATTATCGCGAGAGGATTATATGAACTCCTTAGACCTTAAGGATGCATATTTTCTAGTTCCTGTCGACAAAAGCCACAGAAAATTTTTGAGATTCATATTCATATTCATATATAAAAAGAAGCTGTTTGAATTTGTATGCCTACCGTTCGGTTTATGTACTAGCCCATACGTCTTCACTAAGATAATGAAACCGGTTATTAATAAATTGAGAATACAAGGAATAGTAATGGTACTATATTTGGATGATTTTTTATTTATCCATAAATCTAAGGATATATGTGAAGAAAATGTAAGGAAAGCAATTAAAACATTAGAGTATCTAGGTTTTGTCATAAATTATCAAAAAAGCTGTTTAGTTGCTGATCAGAAGTGTAAATATCTAGGATTCATTATTGATTCAGTTAACTTTTCCTTAAATTTAACGGATAAGAAGAAAAAGCAAATAGTAGAGCTAGTGAATGAGTTTAAAATCGGAAAGCCATACAAAATTAGAAAATTTTCTAAATTTTTAGGTGTGTTAACTTCGGCATGTCCGGCGGTAGCTTACGGATTTATTCACTGCAAACGATTGGAAAGGCAAAAATTCTTAGCATTAAAATTTAATGGTGGGAATTACGAAGGTAATATTTTTATAACCAAATATATGTTAGAAGATTTTGAGTGGTGGAAAATTAATGCAGTTATTGGATCAAATCCAATTAGAATGCAAAATTTTGTTACCGAAATTTTTTCGGACTCGTCTTTGACAGGCTGGGGCTCCTACTGTAATGGCTTAAAGACCTTTGGGTTTTGGAACAAGCAAGAAAAGAAATATCATATTAATTATCTTGAGCTACTGGCTGCCTTTTTTGCGGTGAAATGCTTTGCATCAGAATTATCGCAATGCGAAGTATTACTTAGAATAGACAATACTACGGCTATCTCTTATATTAATAGAGCGGGAGGTGTGCAATTTCCACATCTTAGTGAACTTTTAAAAAAGATTTGGGCTTGGTGCGAGGAGAGGGAGATATGGTTAAAGGCATCGTATATTCCTTCGAGTAAAAATATAGAAGCTGACAAAGCATCACGTAATGTCAATGTAGATTCGGAATGGGAAATTTCTCAAGAAGCTTTTACACAAATAGAGGAACAGTTTGGTTTCTTTACAGTAGACTTATTTGCAACTAGACTGAATAAGAAATGTAAAAGATTTTACTCTAGATTCCCAGATCCGGAGGCAGAAGCTGTGGATGCTTTTACTATATCATGGAAAAACGAACATTTTTATACCTTCCCTCCCTTCGCACTTATTCTACGAACTTTAAAGAAAATAATTAACGATAAAGCAATTGGTACGGTCATAGTGCCCTTATGGCCTACACAACCGTGGTATCCTCTTTTTACAGCACTCCTCATAGAACCCGCCATTATATTTAAACCTAATTCCACGTTATTAACATCTCCTTACAGAGACGAGAGTCATCCGTTAGCATCCCACCTTTCGTTGGTGGCAGGCAGGTTATCCGGTCAGCGTTCTTGAAAAAAGGATTAACAGAAGAGTCCATAGATGTGATGATTGACTCTATTGCAAAAACGACTTTAAAACAATACGAATGTAGTTTGTGTTTCGGTAACACTGAGGCCGACCTCAGGCCGAAACTTTAAATCGCGGATTCCGCCTCGACAGAGACGCGAAGTGAGACGAAACTTATTCTGCCTGGATCGCGACGCGCACTCGAAAGTTGGATGCAACGAGGCCGGTCAATGTTAGATCGAAATTCCGGATCACTCTTGTTCTGAATGTAGAGCGAAAGAACCTTTTGAGCGTCTTTTAACTTAATCAGTTGAAGACCCGTCCGAATCACCGTTATTCGTTGGCGATAAAAGTACACGTGATTGACCGAGTCAAAGTCGGTGAGGAGATAACTTGTTTATACCGAGCGATGAAACGGCAAATTTGACTTGCGGAGACAAAGGAAAAATGCGAAACGGGCCGGAGTTTAATTGGAAAGTAAAAGTTCACTCAGATTATTCAGGTGGTTTAAGATAATCTTAATTACGCCTGATGAGGGAACTCATCATCGTGAACCCCCCTTTTGGATGAAACAATTACAAATTAGCAACATATAAAATTTAAGTGAACAAAAGGAACGATGATTGAAATCAAGGTAGTTCTCGGTTACACAAGGATCGGAAAGACAAAGAATAGAAGGAACTTTGACTCGATCCGCGACCGATAAACTTCGCGGTAATAAACGGCTGATTTTCGATACCGGCAGTTCGCGACGAACGATGTACGAAGCAGCGTTATTACGGACACTAGATAATTGCACGATATGACTTAACTGAAAGCTAAAGCACGTGTGTTCCGCGAAAAGATCTCGCGGCCCCGTGTCGCGAAGAGAGGCGCGAGGAGAGGGCAATCCGCCGAAACTCGACGCGGATTCGGAGAATAGTTAGGCGAATCAGCTGTTGCGACCACACGCGTTCCGCACGCGGTCGCGGCGTGATCGCCGCGCAGCTGATCGACAGCGACCGTTTTCCCCAAGTACCGCGCTCGCGCCGCGTACCGCGAGCCCAGGCCCGAACAGTTTGAAACGCTGGTGGGAATTTACTCATTTAAGAAAGTTAGATATGTTTAATGCAAAAACGACAGATATTATTACTTTTCTAAATATTATTTTTAAAAACGGTGCGAGTTATAATACATTAAATACCACTCGTTCCACAATCTCCTTAATTTCAGGGTATGATATTAATAAAGATGGCTTGATCCACCGGTTTTTAAAAGGAGCATTTAAACGGAGGCCAACCAAACCAAAATATTCTACAACATGGGATATTACCCCGGTGCTGAATTACATGAAAAAGCTACATCCACTTAAACAACTGAAATTAAAGGACGCTGTGGAAAAAGTGGCAACTTTATTAGCTTTGACAACAGCTCAAAGACTTCAAACCCTAGCGTTAATAAATATTGATAACATAGAAATAAATAGTACTGGAATAAGCATTAGGATTACAGAACAGATAAAAACATCAAAGCCCGGAGCTTTTCAACCCGATTTAATATTACCATTCTTTAAAGAAAAACCGGAACTATGTATAGTATCTGCAGTCTTAGACTATATAGATTATACCAAGGTATTAAGGAACAAAGATACAAAAAATTTATTTATTGCAACGATGAAACCTTATGGCGCGGTATCATCGCAAACTATCGGTCATTGAATAAAATCACTATTAGGTAAAGCTGGTATTGATACCAACCAGTTCACGGCATATAGCACGCGACACGCAGCAGTATCTGCGGCCTTTAAAAGAAGAGTAGATATCACAGCTATAAGGCGTAGTGCAGGATGGGCACCTGGTTCTCAAACCTTTTTTAAGTTTTATAACAAACCGATTCAGGCCCCCAATGACCAGTTTGCGCGTGCAATTCTAAGAAAATAAGAATGTTACATATAATAAAATAAAGAACATAAGTATTCAAAATAAGGAATTATCACTAATACTCTAAAAAGCTACACGAGACATGTAATATAATTGTAGGATCAAACGAGCCCGCCTTCGGCGGGCTCGTTTGATCAAAATTACATGAAGTGTCTCGTTCGAAGATGATAGTCTCCCTCCCATTTTCAAATCCTTGTCCCTAAAAAAAAAAACTTAAGGTATCCAGAACCAACACTATCCCCATTATCATCTTCGAAAATACGCGTGATAATTCCATGCTCGTTACACAAAACAATATGAGGGTAGGGGACTAAACGGGAGTAACTAGGCGACGGAAGGGCGCCAGATTCAAATTAAATATGCGCTAAACGTTGTGATGTAAGGCATGACAAGCAAGACTACAAGACTATCATCTTCGAACGAGACACTTCATATAATTTTGATCAAACTTCGCCCGCCTTCGGCGGGCTCCTTTGATCCTACAATTAAACCCTCCTCATTCCCGCTATTATTAAAGTTGCACAGGGTCCGTCCCCGGGTAAAGAGATTATATTCTCTGACCCAAAACAGGACCCACGAGCGTATAAGAGCTCGAGGAGGCGTCACAGTGAGCTTTGGCTCACTGACCCACTTCGAGCCCTTTAATAAATACGCTCGACTCTCGACGCGCATCTGTTGGAGCGCGGCGAGAGAAAACAATGTTCTCTGTACGGCGTCCTTCCGCATAGTCAGTCCCGATAAAAAGGGACTTGAGATAGCGGACGCCCCGCGGAGAACACGACGTAACAGATCGATAATATCAATAATAATAATAATAAATAAAAAAGAAATTATGCTAGCCCCGCATTTTTTGCCGAACAAGTTCAATTTTTTTTTCATCAAAATGTAAAAATTTTTCCCACCCCCATCCCTTTTGACCCACGTTTTTCAACCCCTGCAATTTTCTCTTCTTTTCTGGCCCGTTTCCTGTTGTGCTCGATTAGCACAACTCAGCACAAGTCACGGAATTGCATTCCCTGTTACGGTTAAAAAATTGAAGCCATACGAAAATTGAAATTCCTAAAAACTTTTTCCTTCAAAGGGTTGTGCTGCGAAAACGAGAGGTCTGAGGACATTTTGTCGTTAGGAAAAGTTACTGTGCTCATCGGGCACAATCCGGCACAATTTAGCAAAGTTAAAAAATGTAAACTTTTTCTCACCCCCATCCCTTTTGACCCACGTTTTTCAATCCCTGCAATTTTCAATTCTTTTTTGGCCCGTTTCCTGTTGTGCTCGACTAGTACAACTCAGTAGTGCTTGAAAAAGATCAATAAATGCGTAAAAATTATAGTTATGCATTATTTTTGTTGGAGATAATTCAATTTCCCGGCTCATCACTCATTTTCTTTTATTATACGCGTGCGCCACCTGCAAGAATGTACAACCATGAAAGCTATCCTTTTCCTTTCTTTTTTCAGTCAGTCTCGTCTTGTTACGATCATCGGCTGTACGCGCATTCTTCATTGTCATAAGTACTCTGAATAAATTACCATTCATTTTCACTTTTCGCAATCCACTGTCGTTATTTCTGGCACCTGCTCAACAATTTTGTATTTGAGTTTCTACATTTTTTTTTCTATTAAATGAAAAAGATATCGAGTTTTTTCCAACGGCACAACATGGCACAAATTATTGCCTGTCTTTAAAAAAAATTGAGCTTATTTGGCCAAAAATGCGGGGCTAGGATAATTTCTTTTTATTTTTATTATTATTATTATAGATGTTATCGATCTTTCGTTTGCGGCACAAGTCAGTACAAACATAGCACAATACGGCACAATTAAAAAAAGTTCCAAATTCGAAAAATGCGGGGCTGTCAAAAATTTGGTTTTTAATTTTTTTTTCTCGAGCACGCTTTGAGTTACGGAGTTGCGGTTTACGGCACAATACGGCACAAACGTAGCACAATGCAGCACAATTAAGAAAAATACAAAATTCGAAAAATGCGGGGCTAACTTCACACACGTAAAGGACAGCTCAGATCAAAAAATGGCCAAGGACTTTTCGATTTGGATTCCTGTGCTGTATCTGATGGTGTGTTCCATGTTTTTTTTAGTTACACCCTGTATATGATACGTATATACATAATATAAACATTTCTTCTAGAGATAGAAGAAATGAATCTCTTATATGTCTTTGCTATATCTTCGATTTTTTATATTTTTGTTAACTATTAATTGTGTATAACCATCATGTACGTGTAATGGCTCTTGCAGACCCGTGCGACAACGTAATGTACCGTGTGCGACATATGATTGTCCAATAAACGTACAGCTGTCCCATAAAACCTGTATGCAGCGATGTAAACTCCGCTACTTTTGCAGCACGCTGTGGTCGGAGAGAGAGTAAGGCACACAAGCGAGCAGCCGTGTACATACAATGGAAAGCGTCCCATATGGTCACGTTAATATTCACTACGGTCCCGATTGACCACGTTGCAATTGACCACATGTGGTAATACTGAAGAAGAGTAAAGATCTCATGGATCAGACAGAACCCTACGCATGGTCAATTGCAACGTGGCCAATTGCAATGTGGTCAATCTCGACCGTGTTGAAATCGGAACCGTTGCCAATCTCATCGTGGTCAATATCAACGTGGTCAAACATAACGCGGTTAATTGCAACGTGGCCAAACGGGTGCCACTCGATAATAATAACTATTTTAGTAAAACCAATAGATAAGGAGATATTTACAAAAACTTAATTTTTATATCTGTACGCACTGCAACATTTTTGCCTATATGTATTGATGGGGACTTTTGATACATTATTTGACCATGAAACGAAAGTACATACCAAAATATATCTAGCTCGGACTTAATTCCTAAAGTCATAGATTTCTTTACCAAAATGACTGGACTGAATATGTTTACAATATTTGTAAAACATTATGTTAAAAAAAATTGTCATTACGGTACAAAAATTAACATAAAGATAGTATTTCTAAATATTGATTTAATGTTTCTTGTTTATTAGAATATATAATGCATATGATTTAGTTAACTTTTACAATTTATGCTTTTAAACAATGGATTTAACCGCTGGCTTTCCTATTCTTAGTTGATTTATTTTATCATCTCCATTTTGAGTAGAATTTAATGGCTCATTATCTTTTACTGATTGCGATATTTCCTTCCTCCACTTTGTCAACCAGTTACTGGAAACCGTCTGAGAAAATTGAAACATTCACTGTTATTTATAAGGAATTTTTTATATAATCGTGTATACCCTTACGAAAAAGTAACGAAATAATTATTATAATAGATAATTAATGTAATAGAAAATTATATTGTAGTATATCAGTTGAACTATCTGCCAAGTATTGTATGTGACTTAAACACTTGGCAGTAATTGAACTATCAGAAATTACTGATATACAATAATTTTCTAATAATTATTTCGTTACTTTTCCGTAGGGGTATAGAAGCAAATTTACTTTAGAATTTTCGTGAAGAGTTAAATATTTAAAATCATAAACTTATTAAATTTTATGTAAATAAATCTTTTATATGCAGTAATTAAAAAGTAACAATACGTAAGAAAAATTAAGTAGACAGTTAAGCTTGTAAAAATGAAAAGATATAGAAAATAAAGGTTCAATAAACGAGTGAAATTAATATAAAATTACAAAAGTTTAATTTGTAAACTAAAACTTATAATATAATTGAAACTACACAGAGCAATTTTCAGTTATTTCAAAATAAACAAAAATAAACAAAAATAAATTAAAAATAAATTGAAAATTAATGCAACTATAAAGGACACGCGAGTTCAATAAGAATTAAAGTAATGTTTTAAGAAATAATCAAGTTTCATTTCTTTGACTTCTTTTTTTCTCTGTACCTTCGACCGAATTTCTATTTTTCGTATTAATTTATTTATAACATCAGTGATTTTTATTGAACGTATCTGGCAATTAAAATTCTTATTGCCAGATACGGTCAATAAAAATCACTGATGTTATTAATCACTTCTGGCGACTTTTAAGAATATTCTTACTAGTTAATTTATTTAACTAGTTAATTTATTTAATTCATTTATCTATATTTATGATTTCCTCTAATTATGTCGCGACTCTTTACTTTCGTATATCTTTCATAATAACACATTTTTCTACTAAATCTATATCTAAAATTAAAAAATGTGATACTATATGTACATAAATTCGTATTTACATCTTCATCTTTTACGTTCTCTATTTGAATCTTCTTAAGTTTTTCTTCCATTACTTTCAGTTTGTCCATTTCCTTCTGGATTCTATGCTCTATTTGATATTTGGCCACCGCTTGTGCTAATGGTCCTAGCTCTCCTTTCATTGCGGCGTTGAACGCTGCCTATTTATATAAAAAAATTGAATTTATTTATTAAATAAATATAATAGTTTAATATATACAAATTAAACAGATTCTTACATCTCGTCGCCTTTTAGCATCATTGGATGTACCTATCGGATCTGTTTCGGTTTGGGGTCCGAGTTCAATTAAAATCTGGAAGTCCGCATGCTCACCTAATCGAAAACCAACGCCAAGTCTGGAATCGGTTCCTGTAGAATTTTAAAGAAATTAACATAATTAACAAGGATTATGTTATAAGTGTTTATGTTATTGTTAAAGTGTAACAATTTTATTTTGTGATATACTTAACTTTCTTTATTGGTGGAATATTTGAATATATGAGTGACAAAATCGTCGGAAGTTCTTCTGGTATAATCAAGCTTGTTATATCTGTGAATTTTATTTTTATATAAATCACTTGAACATACATATTAGCCAAAAATTTTGAGACCATGTATAAAATTTGAAAATATTTCAGTAAAATGCTACTTAAAAGATTAACTCATGCCTTACTCAATATTTATTTGTAATTTAAAAGTAAATAGATATTTTATTTAGTATAGTTTTTTTAACATAACGTTCTTTAACATATCATAATTTCAAGCAAATGGATTATGATCATAATGCCCGTTTTACCAAAACTAAACTATGGACTTTAGAAGACAGATGGAAGAGTCTTTTATGAAGAAAAATAAATAAACTTGTAACTAGATTATCTAGATTAATAAAAAATGATTGAATAAGGGTGACTACTTTGATGAAAAAAGCATTTAATATTTTTAATACTTAATATACTTTTTATGCTGTAAAAATATTTTTATGAAGATCTTTCAAATACATTATTTTATATTGTTTTTATTGCATCATAAAACAATTAATAAAGTAATTAAAATATCAGTAATAAATAACTAAAGCAAGAGAGCCGAACAAGATGTAAGTGCTAATATATATGTATATTTATTCGATTATATTGTGCGGATTGGGGAGGGGGGAGATCGTGGCAGGAAGTGGTGGGAGAGGTGTTGGGGGAGGAGGGGGAACGAGAGAGATGGATGAGGGTGTTAGAGGAGGTAAGAGGGGAGGGAGAGAGCAAGGAAGAAGAGCGAGGGAGAGAGAGAGAGAGTGAGTGAGAGAGGAAGCATAAATGAGAAGGCAATTGTAAACGGAAAGGGAAGTCCACAGAATAGGGAAAATGCGAGCAGGTGTGTGTGTGCGTGTGCGTGTGCGTGTGCGTGTGCGCGCGTGTGTGTGTGTGTGTGTGTGTGTGTGTGTGTGTGTGTGTGTGTGTGTGTGTGTGTGTGTGTGTGTGTGTGTGTGTGTGTGTGTGTGTGTG